GCGATAGATGAAGTACAAGATCAGAACCCCTGGTATCACAACATCTAGAACTTCTTGGAAAATGAGGCTTATCCACTAGGGGCAAATGCCAAGAATAAAGGGGCAATACAGCGAATGGCTGCTCAGTTTATCATCTACGGGGGTAAATTGCACAAACGAGGCCATCTGGGAATGCACAAGCTGTGTGTTGATGAAGAAGATCGAAGCGCCTAATGGGAGCCATCCACGAAGGAGAATGTGGAGCGCACTTGAGTGGAGTGATGCTAGCTCAGAAGATTCTCATATAGGGTTACTACTGGTTAACCATGGAGGAAGATTGTATTGGTTTTGTTCGGCGATGCCACAAATGTCAAATCTATGCAAATCGCATGAATATCCCGCTGTCGAAGCTGTACAACATGACTTCACCGTGGCCGTTTTCAGTCTGGGGAATTGATGTTATTGGGGCAGTTACTCCGAAGGGGTCAAACGGGCATGAGTACATCCTGGTGGCAATAGACTACTTTACAAAGTGGGTCGAGGCCCAATCCTACGCAGTGCTGAAAGCGTCACATGTAGCCAAGTTCATCAGGAATAATATCATTTGTCGTTATGGGGTCCCGAATGAGATCATTTCGGACAATGGTTCCCACTTCCAGAAGGAAGTGATCGACTTGTTGGAGAAATACAATGTGGCTTTTCATAAGTCATCCACATATCGGCCGCAAACCAACGGAGCTGTTGAGGCCGCCAACAAGAACATCAAGCACATTCTACAGAAGATGGTGGAAACCTACAGGGACTGGCCAAATAAGCTGACATTTGCTCTTTGGGGTTACAGGACATCAATTCGAACATCTACTGCGGCAACTCCGTATTCTCCGATTTACGGGATGGAGTCTTTTCTTCCTATTGAAGTTGAAGTTCCGTCACTGCGGGTTATGGCTGAGTGCCAGATAGCAGAAGCAGATTCGTGGCAGAACAAGTTTGACAAACTAATGTTGTTCGACAAGAGAAGGCTGAAAGTGCTATACCATGTCCAAGGATATCAACGCAGGATTACCAGGGCTTTCAACAAGAAAGTTAAGTCTAGGAATCTGAAAGAAGGGGATTTGGTGCTCAAAGACAACCGAGCTCCCATCCATGACCCTAGGGGCAAGTTCAGAACTAATTGGACTGGCCCTTACATCATCAAATCAGTCTGGTCGGGTGGAGCTGTCATTCTTATGGACTTGGATGGCCTTGAATTCTCCCAACTAGTCAACATGGACAAGTTGAAGAAATACTACCCTTGAGTGGCTCGCTAGACCGAAAACCCAAAAGGGCGACCTAGGTAAAAGTTAGAGCATGGAAAATTTGAAACAAGAAAAACTAAGATCGCAAGGTTGAATACCCAGAAAGGGCGGCCTTGGCAAAAGTTAGAGCACAAAAGGAGAGTGTTAATACCCAAGTGAACCCAAACCGAACTACGTAACGCTTGATTCCCATCTTTGGGATACGTTGGCAACTTCATTCAGAAGTCCAGCCATAAACACTTCCAAATCAACTGTGTCCATGTGATTGTTTTGGTCATCTTTGTCTTTTTTGCATTCAAGAGTTCGGTTGTGATCCTTGCTGTCAGAGCTGGTTACAGTATAATGCAGTGTTATTCAGACAAGGGGCAACTTTCCAGTTATTAGATTCGGGATTGTACATCTCAAGGATAGATTCCAGGTGTGTCCAGTTGTGAGCCTTGTCAAAACTAGTTTTGAAAAGTTTTAATAAAAATTAATTTTGTTCAAATTAATCTTTTTACAACTTAGACCATTTGCTTGATTCCCATCTTTGGGATACGTTGGCAACTTCATTCAGAAGTCCAGCCATAAACACTTCCAAATCAACTGTGTCCATGTGATTGTTTTGGTCATCTTTGTCTTTTTTGCATTCAAGAGTTCGGTTGTGATCCTTGCTATCAGAGCTGGTTACAGTACAGTGTAGTGTTATTCAGACAAGGGGCAACTTTCCAGTTATTAGATTCGGTATCTCAAGGATAGATTCCAGGTGTGTCTAGTTGTGAGCCTTGTCAAAACTGGTTTTGAAAAGTTTTAATAAAAATTAATTTTGTTCACATTAATCTTTTTACAACTTAGACCATTTTTGGACCAAAAGGAAAATTTTCAGTACCCACAACCTTCAATTTCATTGATTTCAATACAGAGTTCTCCAACTCTTGATACAAATCAAAGTCGCTTTTTATTACATTCAAAAGGAAAACTTGAAAGTACAAATTAAAGCAATAAACTTGGGGCATAGTTGAGCTAGGTGTTCCTGCATCCCCCCTTAGAGCTTGTGGAAGCTTCAGATGCCAAAGTAGGCTCGGTTTGCGCCTCATCTTTAAGCCAAGCTATGCATTTGCCTGAAAGGGCACAACTGAAATTGGGAGAGGGAGCCAAAATTTGTCTTATCCTCCATGCAGTGGTATATCGAGCTAGTTGTGAGCCTCGGATTGGAAATGAAACCGGGTACTCTACCCCCTCTTATGGGCAAGTCTAGTCGTGTCCGAACTAACGCCTGAATCGGAATGGAAAATAGAAGACACAGTGTGTCAAACCAAGCAACTGAATGCCAGGCTGCAGGGACATGTTGTAGCTTAACTCAGGCAGATCAAACCAGGGGCAACGCCAAGCAATGTCAACAGCAGATCTGTTGCACATCCAATGGCACCACCACCCCTCGATCGGGAAATTGACTAGCCGTTGGCAGAAGAAATAGCCACGTTCTTAATACACAGGGCAAGAGTCCACTACTTTCAACTTATCCATGAGCCATACCTGGGGAGGGATGAAAAATAAGAGAGATTAAACAATAGAGAGGCGTATGTAGAGAGAAAAAATGAGAAAGGGTTTTAAGAGAAAAACATATCTTAGGGCCGAGTGATGTGAGAAACACATGTGAGAAGGGTGGAAAACATTACCTACAAGAGTAATGGACTTCTTTCAAACTTTGGTTGTCTCCCGGTGATGGAAAGCATCCAAGCCCATCAAAGTCTCGGCTAGTGTCAAGTTAATGCAGCTCTTGCCCTCTTTCAAGCCTTGGACAACTTCGATCAAGCGAATGCCAGACCCTCTGAAGCCAGGGGCAAGAAGAAAATGAGCCAACATGCACAAATAGAGAGCATGTTGTCGAAAACCTTGCCAGAGATGATCGCCACGGTCACCGACGTCAGAAAATCGATGAATCAAGCTAGGAATATCCAACTCCCCGTTGTGAACCTAGGATCGAGCATCGTGTAAAGTAAGCCCACACATCCATCCTAAAGCTTGGATGTGGCCAAAACGGGACTGGGACAAGATTTTCTCATCACGCTGGGATTCTATCAAAGCTTGGAATTCTTCGATTGTGGGGCATATCTCTTGTCAGCCAAAGCTGAAAACATGCGTAATTGGGTTCCAACATCTAGTCGCGGCGTGGAGGAATGGAAAACACAATGGAGTACGACTCAGTACGACTTAGCAGGAATAGTGCATTTATCCTGAAATCTCAGAAATTCAACTTTTCCGAGCCATCTAAAGTTGCAATCCAAGTTGAGAGTTTTTTGACAAAGAATGGCTCCATTTGTGGCAAAAATAGAGCTGAATTGATAGAAGTATTTTTACACAATAGCATAGATAGAAGTATAGATATAAATATAGATTTCAGATCATAACCATTGAAACTAAAAATAGTAATTACATCATTACATGTTTTAAAATCACAAAATTTAAGGAAATAATACTAATATATTATTGGCATTCCTTAAGAGAATTTAAAAATTAACCAATAATATTTTTACATAATAGCATAGATGAAAGTATAGATATAAAAATAGATTTTAGATCATAACCATTGAAACTAAAAATAGTAATTACATCATGTTTTGAAAACATAAAATTTTAGGAAATGATATTAATATATTATTGACAACAATTAAGAGGATTTAAAAAAATATCAAATAATATTTTTATATAATACTATAGATAGAAGCATACATATAGATATAAATTTCATACCATAATCATTGAAACTAAAAATAGTAATTATATCATTGCATTTTTTAAATCACAAAATTTAAGAAAATAATACTAATAGACTATTCGCGATGATCAACAAGATTTAAAAATTAATTCAATTTATGTAAATTAGATTTTAGACTAATTACAAAATGACATGTGTAATTTAAGTGTTAAAAAATTATAAATATATGAGAAAATTATATTGAGATTTTCAACCTCGAAGAGGCCACAATAGTTTTATGTATATAATATAATTAATAATTAAATTAATCCAGTTCCACTCAAATTCTATTGGAGTTCATTATGGCCCTATTTTAATTATTTATTTTAATACTTTAATATATATATATTATTTATGAAAAAAATTATATTAATTTGATAACCATAATTATATGATTTTACCATTTTTATCTTGAAAACTGAATAATTTGTTTTCTAAATAATATTTGTGGTTCATATTTTTAAAAAAGGTAAAAAATTATGTTGCTAAAAATCAATGTAATTTTCTTTTCATGAATAACCTGTACATTAAAAATAAATAAATAAATAAATAAAATGTGAATTATATCAAAATAAGACCCGTGACGAGATTGGCAAACAGAACAGAAATCAGATTGTTATTTAAATCTCAGTTTTCATCAAGAGCATTGCTATTGAGATCCAAAAATCAAATATACTCTTTAAACCTAATGATGTGGCACTTTATTAAATTATTTTAATGAACCCCCTCTCATATTTATTATCTAATCATCAACCAATCATTTTATTGACACGGGGTGTAAAAATTGGGTCACTATAAAATAGACTTGTATATCATTTTCCTTTAATCAATATCTATGTCCTCTCTCTCTTTTACAACGATCTCTCTCAAGTCTCAACAACACCAACACTTTATGCCAATGCCTCATCCTCCTCTCTCTCCTCCATCACCACCACCACTACCATCATCTCCGCCAGTAAACAACCCAAAACCTCCCGTGTTCGATATGGCCGGACCACGAAAAACCTAGCCTCCATGAGCCACCACCGCTCATCGTTCCACCTATCGACTTGGGAGCCTTCCTTTCCAATGACCCCCACGCCGTGTCAACTGCTACTCGATTGGTCAATGAGGCTTGCAAGAAGCATGGCTTCTTCTTAGTCATCAACCATGGAGTTAGCAAAGAGCTTATCAATGAAGCTCACAAGAACATGGACTTGTTTTTTGATATGCCATTGAAAGAGAAACAGAAAGCTCAGAGAAAAGTTGGAGATTATCCTGGGTATGCTAGTAGCTTTACTAGTAGGTACTTTTCCAAGCTTCCATGGAAAAAAACTCTTTCTTTTAGGTATTGTGATGATGGTGGCTCATCAAACGTAGTTGAAGAGTACTTGGCCAGCACAATGGGTGAAGATTTTAGACAATTCGGGTATGAAAAACTCAAGTTATTCTATTTGGTTGTGTTTTTTCTCTCTTTGATTTCATTTTTTGTGTTTTTGAAAACAAAACAATGAAAAATTTAGAAATACCAATCAGTCTGATGTTATTTTTCAGCAATGCTATAAACTCAGAAAAAAAATATCTAGAAAAACATATTTAAGAATAATAATCATTTTCCATGTGGTCCACATCCCATCAACTTTAAAAGTACACTATATAATTCTTTCAGGGTAGATTTTAAAATAACTTTTCATGCTTCATAGTATTTTTGATTATTTATATTTTTCTTTTCTTTTCTTTTTTACTTTTTTCAAAAGTATTCAAAAAATTTTCTCGAAAAACTTTTAAATATATATATATATATATATTTGTTAGCAAAGAAAGGAACCATAGCCCATGTGATTTCTATTTTGTGTTAATTTGATTACTACAATTTACTTTTAAAAAATTCACATTATGTCAAATTACCCTAATTCATAACAATCCTTTGGAAGTTTAACTGAAATCAAGTGTGACACGTCTCAAAGTAATTGAGGGGTTAAAATCCGATTTGAACATATTTATTCCTTTTTCAATGAATCATATGTTTCTTATTTTATTTTTTTTAATTTCTCAAAATACAAAGTAAAAATTTGAAGAGCAAAATTAATACAATTGAATTTATTGAAATCCAATTGATACAAGAATTAAGTTAGAAAATCAAAATGTAATTTACTAGAAAAGAATATTATTAATGGATACCCATATAGGTATTAGATTTCTTGTAGCTGTACCGTTTTAAATTATTTTAAGTAATTGAGTTAATTTTATTATTAAAGAGGATTTTGTTTTGAATTTAAATACCCACTTGAAAATATTAGATTTTTTAGGCAAGTCTTCAAAAAATTTTAATGAAAACTATTTTCAACAAAAAAAAAATTATTAGATTTTTTTTGTTGATGTAAAATAAAGAGTACAACAAAGGTACATCACAATGAAGGGTAAAAAATGGAATGTAACATTTCGTTAAACAATTTTTTATTTTTTGTGTATTCTCAAAAATGATAACACAAAACACAACAACCAAAAATATAAAAAATAAAAATACCTTAAATTATTTAGAATGATATCTATCTCTCTCTCAATTTATTATTTAGCTAAACTTGCTTTTTTGTTTTTATTTTTGATGTTTCTTGTGTTTTCTTAGAAAGGTATATTATTTTTTATGTTTTTTGTGTTTTCTTAGAAAGGTATACCAAGATTATTGTGAAGCAATGAACACTCTGATGGAGCTATTGGGGGTGAGCCTAGGAGTGGGTCCAACCCATTTAAGAGAATTCTTTGAAGGAAATGAGTCAATAATGAGATTAAACAACTACCCTCCTTGTCGTAAAGCTCATGGGACTCTTACTACCCTCCTTGTCGTAAAGCTCATGGGACTCTTGGAACTGGTCCTCACCGTGATCCAAACTCACTCACTATCCTTCATCAAGACAATGTTGGTGGGCTTCAAGTGTTTGTTGATCAACAATGGCACTCCATTCTTCCCAATTCACAAGCTTTTGTTGTCAATATTGGAGACACATTCATCGTGAGTACATAAACAAATGTTGAATAAGCAAAATTCTATAAGTAGAAAAATAGTCTGAAAAGTAACCAAAAAAGGCTAAGCTTCCTCTGACTCTAAATTTAGGATGATAGTTTTCTTATCCTCAATGAGAAAGCAAAGTGGGGACGAATTTTTCTTTCCCGTCTTGCCTGTTGTCATCCTTGTTTCTCTCACCCAAAACATTTACAGTCATTGAATCATGGAGGATTCAAAAATCTCGAAACATATCTAATAGTTATATATGTTTTAGGATAGAGGACACCAATATTTAAGAGCAAATGATTCGGTCTTCAAAAATTGTAATAATAAGGTGAGAATAGTTGAGTTTTGAGAGAAAAGAGAGTAGTCACGGTTTTTAGAGAGAAGATGGGGAAAGAGAGAGAGAGAGAGTAAGTGAGAAAAGTGTGTGAGAAAAGTGCGTTTAGGGTCTGTTTATAGTGGTAAAATAATAGCCCTAAAGTCAAAGGAAAGGATAAGTTAAACCCCAGAAAGTAGGGCCCAAAACCGAATCAAAAATCTGGAAATAACTCACAGGGGTTGACCCTCATGACAGTGATGTCGACCCTCAAGAAGAAAAGCTGAGACACTAATGTTTTGTAGAAGAGGAGGGTCGACCCTAGGAGACAGTGGTATCAACCCTCAACCCTATATTTCAGTATGTAACCCAAGACAAAGCAGCGATGGAAGGGTTGACCCCACCAAGACTGGTGTTAACCCCAGAGGCCAATAACATGGTAAGTGTCGACACCACCAAGACTGCTGTCGACCCCAAATTTCAATAGCTACACCAAGGGCACAGCAACAAGGTGGTGTCGACACCACCAAGGCTGGTATCGACCTCTGGAGCAAAACAAAACAAAGAAAAGAAAGCAGCATCGACACCACCAAGGATAATGTCAACCCTCAAGCCATAATCCAACAAGAGAAAAGGGAGGGACAACCACTACGGATATGGTTTCCCTGATTTGAAAGCAATAAATGGGTTAGGTTTAAGCCCAGATCGCTACAGCGACCGAAAGACCACTCGAGTGACCACCCTTTATTTTCAATCTTGGCTCGAGCGACCAAGAGTTGGCTAGAGCGTAAAATTAGAGCATCTAGTACTTTTGCAGACTAAGGAGTTCACTCGAGCAACCAATGTTGCACTCAAGTGAAGTGTCCTGTATTAGGAAACTTTGAAAAGTTGTTCTATGTTTCAATTTCCGTTCTATTTCATTTCTGAGCATTCTTAGGCACACATTGTGCATCCTAAATGAACTAAAGAACTGGAAAGAAGTCTAAGAAGTTAAACAAATAAAAGAATGAATTGAATTGTATTATGATCCAATTTATGTATGTGCTATAAATTGTGTGGGGTCAATCGTGAGGACGAATCAACCATCTGAACATTGAGTAATATCTTAGTAAAGATATTTTACTTATACTCTATTTTCTTATTGTTCACATGTGGTAAGCTTTTCTGAACCTTTGATTTGATAAGTGTGAATGAGTTATCATCTTTTGTTTGAACGATATGATAACAATGTGATATTAATAAGAGTATTATAAGAACAGTGGACCCGAGGTCATTCTGTATATATTTGAATTATGGGGCAAAGTCGCTCGATATATCTGAATTGGGCCTAAGGCTGTTTTGTGTATCTGATAAAGTGGACCCAAGGTCGTCCTAGATCTCTGAGAAGACTGATTGACTGATATGACATGATTGAATCTCTGACAAGTCTGAATGATTGAAATGCAATTGCAATAATTGAATGGCCATTCTATACTGTAAATGATTGGACCCAAGGTCATTCTGATAAGAGGTGACTGAATTCGATCAATGAGTCCGTTAACTGTTGGACCTGAGGTCATTCTGTACACTGCTCGGCCCAAGGCCATTCTGTTGAGCGGTGATTGAACACGTACTGTATATTCTGCTATCTCTTGAACCTAAGGTCATTCCATCACATGCTGGACCCGAAGTCGTTCTAATGTAAAACGCTTACTGATTATATATTGATCAGATATGCTTATATGTTAAAAGGGGCTCATTCACTCAACCCCTTTACTTTGGTATTATTCACTAGGCGTTAGCTCAATCTATATTTATATGTATGTAGGTGAGCAGCGAGATGTCCAGCCACAGCCCTAGTGATCCTATGAGAGATTGTAGACACCCCATTTTTGACCGTCCTCAAGACTTGGACGTCACCGTTTGAACACTCGGTGATCATCCACGTTTGTGTTCGTCTTGAGTTCCCGGAGGTCTTGGCTACGCGCCTTGCCTCAGGATCTCTCGACTTGCTCATTCTGTGCTTGGTTTTTTGCACCAAACACTTGTGTTTTGCCTTGGAGGGGCAGGGAATGGCATGTGGGCCATCCCCACACATCACCGGCCATGGCTTGAGGCCACCGGCCAGTTTTTTGTTGCCATCGGCCAGATGTTTGGCCAGTCGGCACTCTAGATGGTCGGTCAGCCATTTATTTTGTCAAAATAGCATTTTTGGATGGTCGATCACTGTGCATCTGCTTTTGCAGATGTTTTTATGCCAGCTGTGCTAGTTGGCATACACCTTTTCCCCCCTCCATACACGTGTATGGAGGGATTTCACTCTTGCCAAGCTTGTTTTGTAAGCTTTGCAAGAGTGATCTTCTATAAAGAGGAGGCCTCTCCTCCCTCCTCTAGGGTTACAAAAAATCCCAGGAGAGCTCTAGTTCTAGGATTAGCATAGTGTATCTATTCTATCTCTATTTCTCCCTCTCTTTTGCTCTAAGTGTGTGTTTGTCCTTAGTTTTGCACTAAAACACCTACCATTACACCTTACCTTGGTTGCTGAGGCATTGGGGGGTTGTCCTTGAAGTTTTTGAGCTGGTTTGGAGCTAAGAAAGCTGCTGGAGTGATCCTTGTCAAGAAGGTCTTCAAGGGTAATATTCTTGCCCTTTTTACCCCATCTTCGCGTAGTCTTTTTGCCTACCCTGCTTGCTGGTTTAAGCTTAGTGTATAACATATAAAAGTCTTGTTTTTACCTGCTTAAAATAGTTGTTTAAGGTTTCTTTTAGCTTTGGGGTTGTTTGACCCCTCTTAGGCCTTGTTAGGCCCTATTTTTGTGCTATTTTGGTGAGCTCCGGGACCACCTTGTTTGGGCCTCCTCACCACTGAAATCTTGAGGGATTTTAGTGGTGAGGATGGTGGTTTAAGGTCCCAATAAGGAGAGGGCCACCCCCTCTCCTTGTTGTCTTCAATATGTGTCATCTGAGCCTCATGTGTGAGCAACATTTTTGAGACCATGTTGGCCATGTTTCAGTAGGTATTTGGTAGTATTTTACCATGTTTTACCTCTGTTTTTACTTGGTTTAGACACACCATGCTTACCTTGCATACTTGTCTTGTAATGTCATGTTTTAGCCTTAACATGCTTTGTGCTTTGAGCCTTGTTCTAGCATGATTTAGGCCTAGCTTTGTGAAGCTTTTATGCGTGTGTTAGCATGCTAAAGGTATGTTTTTGGTCATTTGGGTCATCCATGCTTTTCTTTGTATAGCTACCATGTAATTCCCCTTGTATGCCTTGTGCATTGACCCCTCTAGCATGCCATCCTTGCTTTGTTTCAGTGGTTTGGAACCACTTGTCATGCCATTCCAGTCCATTTAGCATGCTTGTATGCTTGCATTTGGTGTTCCTTCAAAGCCTTAAAGAGTTCATGTTTAATGTTCCCTGAATGTGCCATTGCGTATGCCATCATGTGTAGGCCTCTAGGATGCCACGTCGTTGTGTTTTTGGCTTTGTTTTGGCATGCTAAAACTCTAATTTTGGTCATTCAATTCATGCCATGTTTGGTTTTGTTAACGGTAGTTCAATACCTCTTTGGTGAGCCTTAGACCTCGGACTTTGCTTGCATGCTTTCATTGCCTTGTTTAGATTGATTAGGCATCATTTTATAACATGATTTCAGAGTTTATAATGCATGCCATATGCCCATGATGTTCCTCTTTTAAGTGTGCTTAAAAGTTGTCTCCATATGCCTAAGTGTTGGACCTTGTATGCATGCATGTTTGTATGTGTTTTGGCCCTCATTTCTATGGCTTTCGACCATTGTTTTGGGCCTAGCTGAGAGCTGCCCAAATTAGTCTAAGTCCACTCCCACTCTTTACATGTTGTTACATGCCTTACACTTTGCATGCTTTGATTGCATCATGTCTTGCATGCCCATTAGCCTTGTATGTTGTTGCATACTTGGCCCATCGCATGCTTGTTTGTGTGCTTCAACATCCGTATTACATCTTATATGTTTGTTGGCTAGCATTGATGCTTCATGCCTTGTGTGTTTGTTTGCATTGTCATGTTGCATACTAGCTCACATGCCTAGGTCGCAGGGCATTGGCATGTATGCTTTGCCTCTTTAATTGAGTATGATAGAGGTTGAGCTCATTGTTTGTTTGTGTGCATTTCATCCCACATTAAAAATGCATACTTGGTTCTTGAGCCATCACGCATTGAAATGCGCGATTGGTGATTCGAGAATCGAGTACCATGCCCCTTTGAGTCATGAATATGATAAGGAGTGTGGTTGGTGCAAACATTACTTGAAATGCATTGTCATGCCTTGTTTTGCCCTCTACTGCTGTCTAAACAAATTCTGCAAGAAGCTTTGGCCGGTCGACTACACCAAATGCCGATCGACCATTTATGGATGGCCGATGGCTCCATGGATGGTCGATGACCATCCTGCCATGGCCTGTGACCATTCCCCTTGGCCGGTGGTGTTCCACAATGTCGAGAGAGTGTTCCTTGGGAATTGTGCCATTTTCAGAGGAGCAAAGCAGGGAAAACAGAGGCAACTTGTGCATGGTGACGGATTTCCGAGCGAAACCGAGCGTGCATGCATTGGACCCTCTTCCCGAGGCTGTTTTTTTTACTACTTAATTAGATTAGTTAATTTGCTTAACTAGTTAATTGTCTGTGATATTTAATTAGCTTGTAAGTTAATTAAATTGTATTATTCTTTTGGTCCCTCCGAGCGAGGGCGAATTTGTAATAAGTTTGGGTGCGTGTGTGCATGTCTTCCAACCCCCACTTCTTTCTCCCTTTTACTTACCTACTTTGATGGTTTGTGTTAGGGCATGTTTAATTTAGCATACCTTATGCTGTGCATGCGTGCATCATTCATTTGTCTTGCATGCACCGGGCTCGGCGCATCATGCTAACTGCATTGCATTTCAATTCCAAATTGAATACGTGTTATCTGTTGCATTTCACATGCCATGTTTAGGATAG